CGGTTTAGTGTTTGCATCAGTATCGTGTACAAGTTCACGGTGTTTTGAGTCACACGCATCCTTCCTCAAAGGCCATATCAGCTATAGAAAAATAAGCAGATACGAACAAAGTATTTCATATTTGGAAGTAAAGCTAGGTGCGTACATCGCTTATGCTAAATCGGGTTGAAGTTTAGGCATATAGATTCGGATGTAAATTGTTACTGAATTTAGATAGTGTTTTTCATCTACTGTTTAAATATTTACGGAGTGCCATATTGATTTCGTTTGGATAAGGCTCACTGCAAAAGAAGATACCGTCGAACGGATTTTGCCAGGAAAGTTCTTGCTCCAGACTAAGGAAAATGTTAGGAATAGGAACTAGGGCTAGAACTGTCAAAACATGGATTGCCTACAGAAGGGACTTGCTAAGTCAGAACGATTTAGAATTCATGGGGGAGAGCAGAGAACTATTTCGAGTTTGTCTATCGAATATGGTCACTACGAGGTGGCATTTGGTCAAGCCTGTTAACCAGAACTATTCTTGACACCATCGAACTGCTGACTTTGCTTATAAAATGGATGAATCCATGAGTTTCATCTCTTGGCTGAGTAGGGCTATAAACTTTGGCCGTAACCTAGTGTAACCTATACAAGATTGTTGCTGTGTGTATGTTTTTATAATAATCACACTGCATTAAGTATTGCATGGATGATTTGAACATCACTTAAGCTTTAACTGTCTACTAGTAATTACGGAGTCATAGTACTGTTCTTAAAATTTTGGTTATTCCTATCATGTCATCTTCTGCAGATCACCCACCTTGATCGCGTCATCAGTTGACATTAGCAGGTGCTGATGGTCTATTTTCACTACTCCGATGGCACGATCACCATGACAATTAATTTCTGAAGTTTTTTTCTCAGTTCGTATTCTCTTTCCCTGAATATTTTCACTTGTTTAGTCTCTTCCACCACTTTTGGCTGATTTTTCCACGATTACTTTGCCGCTGGCAAGTCGACTTTCGCGAAAATGCAAGTGAATTATCCTTGCGTCGTTGTTGTGTCTTTCTAGCCTTGATTCGTGAGCGCTTAGTAGCCTGAGATTATATGGGTCTCTGTCATTCACTTGACACATTCTGCACTTTGCTTCTGGCTTCGTGCGCTAGCTCTTCGCTTTGTATGAGTTCATGCCCAGTGCTTGGTCCTGAGCGCTTATTTGAAAGGCTTCCATTTCCCCCTTGAATTCACTTCTGGTTGTGGATGTCTGTGTCTTCACGGAGTTGGCGAAAACACCGTCCATGAAGCTGTTTATTCTTCCAGCAGTTGTATCGGTCGTTCTCTGCATTTTGTCTGAATGACTCATGGTTCATTCCGTTAAATGCAACAGATAGCAAACAGTTTATTGCTGACGCGTTTTGTTACATCGACCGTAGCATCATCAGGGCTGGGCTAAGTACAAATGACTGCTTGAAGGCACTTATGTCCAGTACATTACAATCAAAATGCTTTTAAACGGACCGGCCAGAATGTTAACCAGCAGTGTGAAGTTTTCATTGAAACAATTGGATCATTGTCATGTTCACCTGATTTTCGTATCAGTTTTGCTATCGTCCTCCAGATTTCACTAATAACCGCCGAAGATCTGTATTCATTGCAAATCCGGTTTTTCATTGCCAGTATGTACAAGAACTCTTTTATCAACAGACCTAATTTAGGTAGGGCTTTGTCTGTGACCGATGAATTGATTTGACATGAAGGCTTTCGAATCATTTGTTGTATTTTCATTCCTGGAAGCTGAGAATGTAGAGTCTGTTGCAGTGTCGTAACCTTTTCATGACGATCTTCCGCTCTTTTTCAAAAACAATATCTAATACGCATTATTCATTGAATGTGTTTTGCATATAATTCTTTCGTATGTACATTTCATGCGCACTAGGTAGCAGGTTGAATTTAAATGAATTATTCATCTTAATCTTCCCTTTTGAAGCTAGAGTGGCAGAAGCTTTCTGTGTTGGCGATATGATGGATTGGCGAGACTAACGTTGTCTGGCACCAGTGGTGAGTTTTTGCGACGGTTTACGGGCCAAGGCACAAAATTTTAGT